TTTCTTTGATTTGATTGGTCAATTCAAAATTAACCAAAATGGTTAATTATCCCTCGGTTAATTAACGGTTAATTAACCAGGTTAATTAACGCCCATCCCTAGAGCCTGTATATATAAATTAGTAATAAAATTTATTGTTAATATGACATTTCGAAGAGCAAATTCCGTTGGATTTCACGTGACATTTCTAGATTATCAACGAAAAACATGATTTATATCTTTCATATACTCTTTTTATTTATCATGCTCTATTTATAAAAGATAGTTCAACTTATTCTCTATATCTTTCATTTCATTAACGAACAAAAAATGGCATCCTATCAATTATCAATTGACAAACTTTTACGTTTAGCTTTCGTTGCACTTATTATCTTGATTATATACCTGTTTGCTAATGATTTTAATAAATTGAATTTGGAAAAGAATCAAGAAAAATTGATTCCATTTCCAGATTTTCCAATCAAAAAGATAGATGCCGGTCAGGGAGAAGACATTTGGATTTTAACTGATACAAATAAAGTGATGTATATTTTTCAGGTTATCCAATATTTGTGCCGCCTAATTAATTAACGTACGTTAACGATTAATTAATAGCTATATCATTGGAGTACGATCTTACATCGTTTTCTAGAAAAGCAAGAAAATGTTATAGATTTTGCTGTCGGTAAAGATGGAACGGTCGTTTGTGTTTTTAGTAATAATGAAATTGCTGTTAGAAATTTAAATACAAATTGGTGGTAAAGTATCAAATAAATGATCATGATCATGTTTGAAGTTATAACTTTAATTATCTTCTATATAGGTATAGAATAGATGATGGAAAACACACGCATCAAACCATTTCGATCTGTGATTACAATAAAATATTGACAACGAATGGAAATAACGATATAATTGCTGGCATTTATGATGCTTCTAATCCCGAAAATATTGACACATACAATTGGACAATTCGTAAGTAAAATCATAAACCAACCATTTGCGCAAGGCAGAAAATGGATTAATTGATTATTTATATATTTTAATTGATGTCTATTATACTTATTATCAAGTTTCTTGTGCCTTTCGTGATGATTCTTTATGGATTAGAGGTAGTTATCAATATGCTTATCGATACATAAATAAACATAAACAGTAAGTTATCTATTGTAAATTCATAATTAAATTATGTCCTTTCATTTTAAAACTTTCATGATTTTTTCATTATAATTTATAGCATTCCTAGATCAGAAGTTCCATTTAAACAAATTAAAGCTCTAACTGAACAACGTGCAATTGGAATTGACTACGATAATAGATTATGGGAATATGATCGCGGGATTTGGACTTGGATAAGAAATGACGTTATAAGTGCATCAATTAATTATGATGGTGTCCTTTTTATTATTAATACTAGGAATATGATTTATAAATTAAGCAATTAACCTTATACATCTTTGGTTTGATACGAAAATGTTAATTTATTATTTATATATGTATTTATAAATCCTGTATTGTCACGTTTCTGTTTGTGTAATGTCGACTAAAAATAAAAATAAAAAATTTCCGAGATCTTTTTTTTTTTTCGTTCTTTAATAAAAAATTATCAAAATGAAGTTGAATTATACAACGAATCATCGAACTAATGTTATTTATTCTAAATTAATATCTTCACAATGTTTGAACTCACAATTCAATATATGTCGAATAATATCGAAATCAAAATTTTCAGACGTTTTTTCTTTTCAAAATAATCACTTATCTCCATTCTCGACATCTAGAATATTATCGCGTCATGCGAGTAAATCTTCTAATAATTATTCTCCAAATTCACCACTAATTAACCTTTTAGCACCGCAGAAACATAATATAATAAATAATTTATCCAAAGTTATACACAATACATTTTTGGAACAGAGAGAACACAGAGAGCTTAGAGAACGACAGTCATTAAAAGGAAGTTTATTATTTGAAGAAGCGTTAGGACTTAAACTAAACTGGAATAAAGATTTATTGTCTGATTTATTACTTCGATTTAAAACTTCACATGAAATTAAGAAAAAATCTTTAGAGTTGGGGTTGCCACCTCATAAGTTTAAAAAAGTAATCAAACAATTTGCTGACGAAGTTTGGAATAACAAACTTCAAAGGTGTAAGACTGAAGATTTACGTGCTGCTTATGACGCTAATGGGGTAAAAAATTTTATTTAAATGTTACTTTTTATTTAATTCAATTATTAAAACCTTTTTTTTACCGTCATAGAAAGAGGGTGTTAAAAAAGCTTTAACAAGTGTATTTTTAGAGTATATACCAGAATATTTGGAAGAGCAGGATAAAGAAAAATATCATTCATTGAAACAATTAAGTGATTTGAGTTTTCCTGCAGAATGGCATCCGGCCGCAAGAACTATGCAACGGTATGCTTTTTTACAATGTTATGAAATGATTCTTTGATTTTTTTTTTTTTTTTTTTTGAAAATTATTATTTAAATACACATTATATTATAGTAAAATCATTATGCATGTTGGTCCTACAAATTCAGGGAAAACCTATAACGCATTGAAATGTTTAGAAAAGGCTGAATCGGGCATATATTGTGGACCCCTAAGATTACTTGCTCATGAAATCTTTGATAGAATGAATAGCAAAAGTATCCCATGTAACCTTGTAACGGGAGAGGAAAGGAGGGAATTAAAAGGATGTGATGTTCGGTTAACCTCTTCAACTATAGAGATGGCCAATTTAAATAATCAATTAGATGTAGCCGTGATTGATGAGATTCAAATGATTTCTGATCAGCAAAGAGGTTGGGCGTGGACTCAAGCATTATTAGGTTTACAAGCAAAAGAAATTCATTTATGTGGAGAGGCTTCAGCTGTCAAATTAGTGAAATCAGTATGTGCTAGTTTAAATGAAGATGTTGAGGTAAGAGAGTATCGTAGACTTTCGAAACTTGTTGTGGCCGACGAAAGCCTTAACGGCGATCTAGGGAAAATTCAAAAAGGAGATTGTGTGGTGACATTTTCTAGAAAGGCCATTTTTGGTCTTAAAAACGAAATTGAACAAGTTACAGGTCTTCGATGTGCTGTCGTTTACGGAGCTTTACCTCCAGGTAAATTATATTTGTAAATTCAGTACTTGATTATTTGATTGATTACTAATTTTTTTTAAAAAAAATGCGATTATTAAGAAACTAGAGCCATGCAAGCTAAACTGTTCAATGATCCTAATAGTGGATATGATGTTTTGATTGCTAGTGATGCGGTTGGAATGGGCTTAAATCTGTGAGATTTTAAATTTGGATTTAAGGGATTATTAGATTTAGATCGTTTGGAAATTATTATTAAATTTTTTCTTTCCCAAGTAATATCCGTCGAATTATCTTTGAGACTGTAAAGAAATTTGATGGCAAGGAAATCAGATATATTTCGATTCCACAAATTAAACAAATCGCCGGACGAGCTGGGCGATATGGTTTTGATAATCCAATCGGTGAAGTTACTGCGTAAGAATCAATTACAGTCATTGCTACGACTTAATGTATACTCATTAAACACTAATTTTTATTAGATTGGAACCCCAAGACATGAGATATGTACAAAAAGCCATGCAAACACCTTCTATTGAATTAGAGGTAATTATTTCAATTTGAATTATGATGTATTTTAAAGAAAAATTATGTTAATTTATTTTTGAATAGGTTGCTGGATTACAGCCTACTATGGAGATGGTTGAACAATTTGCTCATCAACTATCTGGTATCGAACAATTTGAAAAACTCTTGGTTTGTTTTCAGGATTCTTAAATATATAAAATTTCCACTATTATTATTTATTAATTATTATTATTATTATTATTAAAAAGGAAAAATTTGAAGATTTAGCTCGAGTTGATGGTCAATTCTTCTTGTGTAATTTCGATTCTCAAAAAGTAAACTTTATCTTTGATCAAAATTTCGGAAAGTAAATAAAACGGAAATTAATAATTAACTATACTTTTAGATAATCGCCAAGTCGATTGAACATGTTGATTTGACTATACCAGAACGTTTCATTTTTGCAACGTCGCCTATAAATTCATCAGATCCAAAACTCATGCTAGTTATTAAAAAGGTATTACTTCAAACATTTAATTTATTTTTGATTCGTATACATTATAAATGTTAAATATCTTTTTTTTTCTATATACAGCTCGCGAAATATCATAGTGACCACATACCCGTCTCACTTGGTTCAATCTTGCATCTTGATGCCAAAGTACCACGGGACATACAATCTTTATCTTACATTGAATCGAAACATCGTGTCATCATGTTATATTTATGGCTAAGGTATTATATTTTTAAGATTTGCAAGTATAAGAAGGTAAGGAGTGTATTGTCTATTAACAATTGCATTATTATCAATCTATGGTTACAGTTATCGATTTCCCGAAACATTCTTGAATATCGAAGAAGCACTTGAAATGAAAACAAGATGTGAAGCGTTAATTCATGAATCATTACAATCATTGAAATTCTCAAGAAATCGACATCGCATAACAAAATCAGATGTTAAAAAGATGAGTAAGACATTTAATCAATCTCAAGAACGACAGTTAGCTCGAGAACATAAATCTAAATATCCTAAAAGGATAAGAAATTACGAAAAGAGGACGGAAGAAAAGTTAAGAAAGAATGACGATAAGTTGCAAAAAGTTACTGCCTAAAGATGCGAAATATTTTTAAGAATATATCATTTTAGCGCAGGTGCGTAGTAACGCATCTCCCCTGATTTACAAAGGGTTAGGGTTATTTTTGTTCTGATTATTATCACCCAATAATCTGAGGACGTATTCTGGGATGAATCTATTTGTCGTATATTATTTGACTTTGACACGCCATAACTCATGGTGACTATTTACAGATACCTTTTTAAATAAAAAAAAAACCATCAAATTTTATCGATAATCTACTGCGCCACGTAACGAACGTCCATTGATTCTGATTGGGCTGATCTAGATTTGTAATTGCTGTTAGATTAGACGCATTATTATGCATGTAATTTATTTTATTGAAAACAGATATTTAATAATAAAACCAATAAAAAAAAACCATTTTAAATTGATAGTATTATAAAGCGTATCTTGAAACTCTTCTTATGTTTAAAAAAGTAAAAGAAACATGTATGTTTCACTTTTATTTTCCATTTTGCTTCTCAAAAGAGTAAATATAAAATAAGAACAATAATAAACCTTATTGAAATAAAATCTTAGAAGTTTAAATTTTTTTCTTTTTAATATAGATAATGTTTTTTTTTATAAATTATTTTTTTTCGTCAAATATAAATTTAGTTTCTTTGGAAACCCTTAAGCAATTCTTATACTTCTCTTTAATATCTTACACTTTACAATATTATATTAGATATTTGATTATTAAAAAAAGGTATTCCCTTCCAGGTCCTATCCCTTTACCATTCATAGGAAATTTACATCAAATCGGTATTAAATTTGATAAATTCGCTAACGGACAAACGAGAAAGCACGGTGATTTTTGGGAATTTTTCATAGGGAATCAAAGGAATGTTGTCATATCACGACCAAATTTAATACAAGAATTATGTAAGGAAAACAATTCAATAAATTATTTTACAAAGTATAAAGATATTAAGTTAGATTCGATGAATATTATTATCAATTATGGAGTTATATTTAATAATAATTATGAGAAATGGAAATATTATAGGAAATTTTTTGAGAAATCCGTTTGTTCCATGAGATTTTTAAGGGGACTCTCGAAATCCATTCAACATATTTTTAATGACGTGGAATTTAATTGGAATAAACAATTACAACAAAGGCAACAACAGAAGATAAATGATGATTTGATCCCATTGGATTTATCGGTTTGGAGTAGATATTTTTTAACTGATATAATCTTATCAACCTCAACGAAGAGTTCCTCGTATTGTTTAATGAAGGTCAATGCAAACGTCGATCATAACGTCAAACAAGAGAAAATAAATAATTCATTGAAATTTTTTAATTCGATTGAAAATTATTTTAATTCAATAATTTATTCCAATTCAATTCCTCGAATAATTAGAAATAATTTACCAGGGTTCAAAGGTTTATCAGAAACGTTTAAAAGAAATAATAATTGGTTATTTTATAATTTATTAGAAATTATTAAACAAAGGAGGAATGAGATCGCTTTATTAAAGGAAAAGGAACCTATCGATTCATCAGATTTACTGGATATTTTGTTGACCATAAATACTCCACGTGATCCCAATGGATTTGATGAGGGATTGGATCAAAATGATAATAATAATAAGCCAATGTCCGATAATGAAATTCTTGCCATTATATTGGACATCGATATTGGTGGTCGCGATCCGGTAACTTTCTTTTATCCATGAATTAACGTTTATATTTATGTGTACAGTATATTGAGTTTTTTTTTTTTTTTTTTTATGGTTATAGACTGCAAGTACATTTTGCTTTACGGTGTATAATATTTGCAAACACCCTAAAGTGTTGCAAAAATTTCGCGAAGAAATTGTTGATGTATTGGGTACCGATTTCTTACGACCAATACTTTTCGAAGATTTAAGTAAATTCAAATATCTCGAAGCTGTAATTAAAGAGACTCAAAGAATCATCCCATTAAATCCATTAATACCACTTCAATCACATAATAAAATATCACTTAATGGACATATGATAGAGAAGGATACCCCGATATGGTTACATCAAGAAAAGCTTCATAAAGATGAAAATTCTTGGCATAAATCAGAAAATTTCATACCGGAGCGATTCCTTAATAAAGAATTAGGTAACAACATATTCATACCTTGGTGTGAAGGTATTATTAGAAATTGTCCAGGAAAAAATATGGCCATGATTATATTAAAATGTTTATTGATATTATTATTTAGAAAATATAATATTGAATTAGTTGATAAACTTAGTCCTGCCAAAGTAATGTACTTTGGTATAAATCATTCTTTTAATTTAAAGGTCAATATAAAAAAGAGAGAAAAATTTTATTGATTGACTAAATTTTTGTTATAGTGAAAATTGTATATTTAATTCCCCTAAAATAAATTAATTTTTTTTTCTGAAAATTTTTTTTTTAAAAAAAAATTTCTTGTATATTAATCGTTTTTCTTGTAAATTGATCAAAAATTCTCATATCACCATATGTTTCTCGTTCTCATTTGACAAAAAAAAACCTATTTTTTAACGTATATACATACAGATAAATTAAGGGTTCAGCAAACCTATAATAAGATATATACTCTTATTTTATAATTTAACATTAATATTCCATTATCCCTTAGATTGTCTAGCAGGAAAATTTGCCTGCAATCTAAAAAAAGTATTAATTTTTCAATAAAATATAAAATACTAATTTTAGTAATATAATAATTATTTGAAAAATATAATTTACTATAATATATATTATCAACTTTATTAGAAGATATTTTAAGTTTATTAAGTTTTTTATATTAATTCAATTTTAAATTAAATTTTAAAAAATTTTTATAATAATTTCTTTAAAATTTATATAATAGCAAATTAATTAAATGCAACTTCTTTTATAAAGTCATTGATAAAATATATTAAATATATATAATTCATAGTAAAAGCATAAAAAATTGCAAAAAACTAAAAATTTAAAATAATAATAAAATAATAACATTTATTATGTTAATATAATTAGATTTAGCTTTTTTTACTTGAAAATTTAACTATACTACAAGTTTGATTAACTTTAATCATTAATTCAAAATGAATGTAAGACTATAAATGATAAAAAATATTCTGAATTTCATTTATTCAATAATTGAGTTGATGCTGATTGGCTTTTATGATTACACAAAATTCTAGATAAAGTAAATATCAGTGTGAATTTATTTAATTGCTAAATGTTAACAATTAGGAATATATTTTTGTTTTATTGACTCTAATATAATTACTGATCAAGCAATGGAATCATCAGTTGATGGGATTGATTTATATTAATTTGTGAGCTTATATACAATTAATTTTTAAATATACTTATTTAATATATTATCTAGAATATATCAGCTATGCCTAAATAAATTTGAAATAATTTAAGGTAAAAAAGAAATTAATAAAAATTAAATTATAAAAAAGATTAATTATGATGATGATAATACACATATTCACATATTTCAGATTTGTATCTTTTAAGATAAGAAGAATTATTATTGACTTTTGATTTTATCAATAGTGATTGCTAGAAATTTTTAAATAATTTTAAAAATAATTCTAGTAATAATGAACCTATTAATATTATTATAATCTCTAATAATGAAACTACTAATGATAAAACTATAGATAATAGGATAAGTTTAATTTTAATGAGCTTGAAAGACAATTGTAAATAGAATACAAAGATCAGATACACTGTAATTTGAATTTATTTATATTACTATATAATTATAATTTACTTTATTATTATTTTTGTGTTTTAGTGAAAAATGATAATATTGATATTTCAGAAAAGTTTAGACAATATTGACATAATTTTCTGCATGATATAAAATATAATTTTAAAGTTCTAATATAAAAAGATACTTTTGATATATTGATTATTAATTAAATATTTTAAAATATTGTAATATATATGCATTTTTAAGAACTGTTATATACCTTTCAAGATATATTCTAATTGAATAACTTTATCTAAATATTTATTAAGTAGTTCCTTATATAAGATGAAAATTTTGTAAGAACAGGAATCATTAATTTTATATTAATAAATATTTAACTTTAACCATATTTACAATTAGATAATTTTAATCTAAAGCACCAAAATAATTTAATAAAATTTTTTTCTTTAGCTTTTCACTTTTTATATTGCTAATAAAACCTATTTCTATTATATTCTAATAATTCTCTATTTTGCTTTATAATATTATAAATAATAGACATTCGTTGATATAAGATTTGTAAGATAAATTTTTTTAGTAATTTACTATTATAGTTTTTGTTTTCTTATTATATATCTAATATTCTGCTTATTTATTTTAAACAGTAACTTATAATTGCTAAATATCAAAAATATTCCTATTCATTACTCTTTCAATAAGATTTCTTTATATTATTTTATTATCTTGCTCAGTCTTTATATTATAATGCTTTTATTATTCACAGATTAAATTCTATTGCAAATTATTTCTTTTTAATAAATTTGTCTTATAATTTTTTTTATTTAATTGCTAAGATTTTTTTACCTGTTATTATAATATTTAAATAACTATTTATAATGTTTGTTAATTCTATAATAGTGATCATCTTTAAGTCAATATTAGAATTAAACAAATTAGGAAAATTCTTTTATACTAAAAAGTTTTTTCTTAATAAGATGATTTTGATTTTATATCACAATTTTTTAACTTATTTTTTGGATTTTTCTAACTGCTTTTTAAACTAGAGATATATTTTTTCTTATCTTGCATATTCTTATTAACTTAATATAACTGATTTTTTAAATTAAAAATTTTAGATTTTAACTTTACTTTTATTTTTAAAGTATTTTTAAAACATCTATTTTTTTATTGAGATTTTAGATTTTTGCTCATATTAATTATAGTTGATTTATTTGTTTTTTTTGTTTTGATAATTATTTTTTACCTTTGATTATAATGCATTTTAAAAATAATAATTTTTCTTTAATTCAATTTATATTTTTCATAGATTTTTCTTTCTTAGATGAGATCTACAAAATAATCAGAATTTTATTTTATAAAAATTTTAAAGATTATTATTAAATTGCTAAAAAAATACAAATAGTTTATAAGAAAGCCTAATATAATTTATAATAATAAATTGGTTAAACAAATAAGTTTACATGATATATATAAGTCTAAATTTAAATATATTTTATAATCATTTTTTATTAATATTATTATATTTATGAAAGTTATTCAAATTGATTTATTATTATATTATATTTTTTATGATCAAATTAAAAATAAACAAATAAATTTTATAAATTTTACATTTAATTGTGTAAATAATATTACTGTATTTAATAAATAAATTCTTTAATTAAATATAATTTTGCTAATATAACTAAAGGATTTGTAAAACTATTTAACTCTAAAATATATTTAATTTTTTGATCTAAAATTAAAATTTTAATAATAGATAAAAGTGTTAAATTTTAAGATAATATAGGTTCTTTGTAATAGAAAGAGTAAAAATTACAAAAAAAAATTTTTTTGAATTAATATTAAATCTGAATTTATTTTACTAAAATAATTAATATTTAATTTATAAAGTAAAAAAAATTTTTTTGGTAGTTTCTGTCTTTTTTATTGTAAAGTACTTATCGTATTTATCCAAAAATAAGCATTACCTAAAAATAAGCACCATCTATTTTACATAGAATCCGTAAATAAGCACCCCCTTACAATCAAAATTTTATAGCAATAAATTTTTATATAAATGAATTATAAAAGTTCTTTTATTATGTATATAAAATGAAAACTATAAAAAATTCATATGATATCTTCACCAATTACTTTATTATCATTATTGATTTCATCATTATTATTGATTTTATCATCATTATAAATATCATTGTCATTATTAATATCGTGAATATCAATATTATGATCAATATTATCACTGATGCTATAGTCAGAAACCTTTGAATCTTAGCTCAAATCGTTAGAAATTTTACATTTTTTAAAGGACTCAATAATAACTTCTGTAGAAATATACTCCTAAGTTTATTTAACCCATAAGCATACATTACTAAAACTAGCGCAGTGAAGATTTCTAGCTGCAGTTTCTCCTACTCTACCACTTGCCATCTATTCATGCCATTCTTTACAGAGATTATCTTTGAATGGCTTATTTATTGAAATATCGAATGGTTAACACATGTTAATCAATCCACCCAGAATTATTATGAGATGAATGCCACTTTCATGAAACTTTTCTTTAATTGATTTTTCTAAGTGACCTCTGAAAGAATCATACACAAGCATTGACAAATCCCTCTGAATTTTATTTTTAACCTATAAATCATTAAGATAATCAATGTAACTTACCATCAGATTGCTATCCATCTAATCATTGCTCTAAAACTAAATGATAACTCAAGGAAGAATATTTTCTTTACGTAACATTCGCTTACCTTTGAAAATGTATATTAGGGAGAATTTGGACCTATCTATAGTAAAGTAACAAAATAAATAATTAGCTCATAAGAAATCATTGAATGAAGGATAGAATGGGATATAAATAGAATAAGGGAAGTGGTTAGAAAAAATTGAAAAGAAAAGAAAAGAAAAACAGAAAGAAAAAAATGAACAATACTTGCAGCAATTATAAGAATAACGGTAAATCGATTTTTCTTATTTCCAATTGCTCAGACATGAACTATCCTCAATACCAGCTATGTCAAACCATATAGGTGTCTTATTCATATTAAAATGTTTTTTAATTCAAAACATTTTTTGATTCTTAGATTAGTAACGAAATTATAAAAACTTTCTAACAATTCTTGAGTTTTGTCAAAAAGTTTTTGGAATATTCTAGTTCTTTTACGTAATGCAAGCTTATACCTTTTTATAAAATTACGAATCCATCGCTAAGTTGTTTTAAATTCTTCCATTAAATCACCATAAAGAACCAACAGCTTTGATTCTTTTAAAATTTCAAATATCCTGTTTCATATGGTTCTATAGGTAACTGCAAAACCTTGTTTCCTTTGTTCTATTATCTATGTATATAGCTTTTCTTCTGCTTCTGGAAAAAAAGCTTTTCAGCTAGAACCAATGCGCTTACTTATTTCGTTTACTTCATCTGTTTAACAAGTGTTAGCATTTATCCAATATCCTACTATGATCATATTAAGGTTAAAGTATCTACCAGCTTCATTCTAACCATATTCCTTTGCGTAATTGACCATTTCTTTTTTGTTTAATAGAGTATGATTTTCATATATATTTAAGAATTCGCAATATTATTTTTGAAAAGTAAAATTTGATCAACACGAATTTCAGAAA